AGTCGTCACATGTGGTTGCCGCAAGCCCACCGGCCGCTCCTTCGTCGAGTCCGCCGGCCGATGCTCACTCAAGCCCGTCGTGTGTGACGCTGTGTGTTTCGTTATGAAAGCGAAACTACTTGGTTTGGCCTTCCAAAAGAGGACATGACTAGAAATCAGTGGTTAAGTTGTATTTACAACACCGTTCCAGAACACTTCAACCCAAATATCCAGATGTGTGCAGCACATTTTATGGAGGACTGTTTACTGATTAGAGAAACTATAATGTACAGTATATGGAAAATAATGTGTTTTTTTAACCTTAAACCGCATAAACACATTTCATTACACCAAATACACAAAATAACGTTCTTTTTAGCAACATCATATGACCCCTTTAAATCAACATTTTGAAAAAAGAAAAAAAAACAGCTCCTACAATATCTACAGTTCCAACAATGCAGACAGTGCACTGGTGAGTCGATTGTTCAATATGTCACTGACTTAAGAGAGCTGGCAAAACCATGCCGTTTTGGTACTTTATCAGATGAGATGATACAAGATCAGTTAATTGAGAAAACAAATAATACAGTTGTTCAGGAGCGGCTGTTATTGGAAGATGATGATCTCACTTAAGAGAAAGCTGTAATTCTGGCCTCTCAAATCAAGTCTGCTACCCAGTGCACTGCTAAATCAAGTGTAAGAGGCGGGGACATGATTCAACAATGCACACAAGTTCACGGAGCAGAGGCAGATATATCTTTGAGTGTGGACATACACTATGCACACCCTCAAGTTCAGCACTGATGTGGAAATTGAGGCTCCACTAGACGCTCATCTCATGCCCTTGACTGTCCAGCTGAAGCACTTTACAAAATGGTGTGGGTCTGCTCCAGTTCAAGCTTCTACACAGCAAAATCCACATGCTAATGTTACAAGCCCTGCTATTATTCATTCAGTCAACACCAATTCAGCAGGTTTTTCTATATGCACTGTTAAAATAGTGGACTCTTAGATTCCCCTGCTACTGGACACAGGGGCTAAAGTCTCACTAATTAATATGGCCACTTACGAACATTTCCTGCCATATTTGCCCCTCCAGCTGCCCTCTCTGAATTTGTTTGAATATGGAAGTTGTGCAATCTATGTCATTGGTCTTATACACATGAATGTCCAGTATGGGAACAAGGCTCTGTTCAACTTCCCATTTCACATTACACTCATGGCAGCAATATGTGTTACCGTGTACCTTCAGATAATTTGTTTACTCATTTTTGTCTTCAAAATAGAAAAACAAAGAAACTGTTCATTACATATTCCATTCTTCTCATTTACATGAAAAACAATAATCTCATGTTGATATTCATATTTTTATTTTTGTTTTCATCACACTTTGTTCTAAAGCACCAAATTGATATACAATAAAACTGAATGGGGAAAAAAATGGATAAACAGTTTGAATATTCGTTCTCATGTGGGCAGGAATGAAGCCTTTCTGAATGAATACCTTTCTGCTGATTGGTCGACCAAACATCAAACTGTGCTGTCATCACTTCTTCCTCAGTTCCACACAGCAGAATAATAGTCTGCATAGTTGTAACGATTCTTAGCACATTTATTGCAACTACATTTAATCTCTTTCTCATCAAACAACCAGACTATCCATCGACGCAAACCTAACGTATGGCTTGACACATCGTTTTGGTTATTATTCTATTTGATTTGATTCGATTTGGTTGTTATTTTACATAGAGAAGTTTATACAAATGTATTGTAATGTGTCATTTTCCCATTACCATGTTAAACGTATATAATACATGCTGTTGGTTCCTCAAAGTGGCACTGTTGTTACAGTGATTGACTTTATTGAACTGTGGATTTAACGTCATGATTTAATGAAGTTGGTGAACTCGTTTGAGATGCCAATTTACAATAAAAAAAATATATACTCAGGGCATGATTTAGGAGGCTGGGGGCCTGGGCTTAAGTCATTGTTTGGGCTCTACTTATTTTACAAATTACCCCAGCTAGAACAGCATGTACCATTAACTGAAGTAACATTGACATAAACTACACAAAATGAGGCTGTTGTTCCTTTAGAAAAAGGAGTAAGCAGCATGCTCAACCTAGTCAAATTTAGGGGTAAAGTTACAATTACAATTGCATAATATAATTAGATTAATGCTTTAAACAAACAATTTTGAATAGATAAATGGGAAATCAATTAAAGAAATGTAATGATATTTGGATTATGAAAGTTATATCACCATTAGGTGGTGGCAAGTCATTGTATTACTGAATGAGTCATTTATTTAAATGATTCATACAAATCACAGATTCATTTAGGTATAAAACTCAAGTGGATGCCTATATTATTGGTTCATTGAATCACTCACTCAACTGATTCATTCAAAGGCTCATTCAGCAATGAAACATCACTGTGCGCCAAAGTTATGACTGCAGTGGATTTATCCTTAAATCGATACTGGTTTGCGCTTCACTATATGAAAATGCATTCTCTCCGTGCTGTCCAGGGCGTTGCGCAGCTTTGCCACACACACACACACACATATATATACAGTATA